CATCTGTTCTCAGAACATCTTCCCCCAATTAATGGGGATCATCAGGATGCTTCTTTCTTTTTCCTTTTCTTTTTTGGTAAATGTGAGATGAGCAATGGTTTTCACCTTTGAACTCTTCCAGGAACGGCCACTTCTTTATGACCTTTGACCTTAACTGGAACAAAGTGAGCTTCAGATTGTGTTCTTGGTTCCGCGGTACTCAAACATCTTCAGAACAGAGACTGATGTGTTGCTTTTTCATATGTTTTATCCTACTTCTTGTGGGTTTTATTGAAGTGATTTATAAACTCTGCAGGTCTGGCAGTGACAGTGAGAAATTGGCGCATATTACTGAAAAACTATTTGAACAGTTTTAAGTTGATAATCACGGAAATAAAGCATTTAATTCAGACTAAAATCATTAATTAAGTTTGTTGAATTGTTTTATTTTTAAGTGAAATGCTAAAGTGGAGCAGATATTTATTTCTAAAAGTAGTTTTTTGTGTGAAAATCCTAACTGAAAAAAGGGAGTGCCTTCAATAATGTAATATTTCTGTGTGATTACGTCTTCTCTTTAAACAGTGAAGCCAAACACTCAGAAGCCTTAAAAGTCAGCTGATGACACTGTCTGGGTATCGCGGAAGGGGTTATAATGGTTAATAAAATCAAACATTTGATATTCTCCTCTAATTTTCCCTCAGCACCGAGCTAAGCTAAAGGATCACAATGTCACATCAGAAAGTTTACTTTTACTCAGCGACCTCGCCTTTATTCTGCCATTTTCTCTTTACTGACGTGTTATACTGCTCTACGTCCATCTCCCTCCACCGAATAAATCACATCTTCCTCGTCTTCTTGGCGTTTTCAGTGCAGCACATTTTCTTCTCTCTCTGGCACGTACTCAGACTACACAGATATTACACACATTTCTTCCCAGTGAAGCCACAAGTCTCCTCGTGCCAAACACCTCTGTGCTGTACCCTCTGCCGCTAAAGCGACAGAGAGGAACCAAAAGAACAAGTGACAGACCAGCTGAAAAAAGTGTGCAGAAGGGAACCCAGAAATGATAGAAACGGAAGAAACGGTTTTCTGGTGACCATTTACCTGATGAGCTGAAAGTTAGGACAGCCTGAGCTGGCAGATGATGGCGATCCAATACAACAAACCTGTGGTGCAACCCATCTGTGCCTGGTGTTAATGTAGGCTCACACTCCAAAGGCAAAAGCCGCCATGCCGGGTAAACGCTGCATGAGCAGAGGCACAGTCCTTAGAGGGGGTCAAAGACTCGCCCACTGGGAGGACAATGGCAGTTTAGTTAAACACAAACACACACACACACACACACACACACACACACACACACACACACACACACACACACACACACACACACACACACACACACACACACACACACACACACACACACACACACCAGAACTGAGGGAAGAGGATAAATATACACACATCTGTCGTAACAACATAACTATCATGCAACTGTGTCGTGTTGCAGAAACCTTTAAATGACACCTTTGACTGAGTAAACAACACAGACCCACTCTTATAAACAGTGTGATACGCGTTTGGGCTGAGGGTCAGGTGGTTTTTCTTTCTGTGTTTATCTGCAGGTCTGGTTAGCCATTGTTCACTGGGAACTTCCTGTTGTGTGCGTATGCTTTGTGTTTATCCAGGTGTGTGAATGGGATTGTGTGTGCAGGGGTCAAAACTCATGCACGGCTGTGATGTGTAGTTTGTAAACTCCACCCTCCTATCCTCAGCATGTTCCTGCTGCATTCTGTCTAAAAAAAAGTTAAGGGAAGAATTAACAGCATTTATGTACAGAATGTAGGGAGAGTAATGCTGCAAGAGAAAATAATAGCTTATTGTTGTTACCACAATGGATTGTGCTCCTGTTAAGGCTTAATGTACTCATTGTTCTGTTACTATTATTATAAAAATAATTCATTTAATGATGCTCCAGTACCCCACCACCCTCTCACGGAGGTAACCCCCTCCTATGGCTTTATCACGGGGCTCTCCCAGAAACACACGTGTAACTGGAGCTCTGGTTTAGTCACACATTTAAGCACTATAAAGTTTGCAGATGACATTGTGATCTGCCGTGAGAGCAGGGCGCAGGTACAGGAAAAGCTAGATAGGCATGCGCTGGAAAAGAGAGGACAGAAGATTGGCCAGAAAAAGTAGAATGCGTTCTCCGGGTCAGGGATGAGATTCTGCCTCAAGTGGAGAAGTTTAAGTATCGCAGGTTCTTGTTCACGAGTGAGGGAAAGATGTAGCGCAAGATCGACAGGCGGATTGGTGCTGCGTCTGTAGTGATGCGGGTGTTGTACCGGTCTGTCGTGGTGAAAAGAGAGCTGAGCTGGAAGGTTGATCTACGTTCCTACTCTCACCTATGGTCACGCGCTTTGGGTGACAGAAAGAATGAGATCTTGGACACAAACGGCCAAAATGAGGTTACTCCACAGGGTGGCTGGGCTCTCCCTTACGAGAAGCTGGCCAGGGAAAGACGTGGGATTCCCCCAGAGGAGCTGGCCTAAGTGGGAATGACGAGGATCAATAGGATCAGGAATGAGTCCTTCAGAGAGTCAACACATGTTGGATGTTTTGGAGAAAGGCCAGACTGAGAGCGTCTGGACATGTCCAGAGGAAATACAATGATCACACAGGTAGAAGGATGCTGAGATTGGAGTCACCAGACACCAAAAAGAAGATTTATGGATGCAATGAAGTGTGAAGGTAGATGATGCAGAAGATAGGACTAAATGGAGACGGATGACTGGCTGTTTGATACCTGAAAGGATATGCCCAAAGACAAAAAAGTACATCATTTAGTCACAACATGTCTTCATTTAGCAAGTTTTTATTTATTTATTTATTATTTTTCAATTTTCATTCTTCCTTAATTTTCACAAACCCCAGTCAGTTGTTTCATATTGATCATATTTTCTGACTCCAGATCCCTGCAACAGCTCTGACACAAGACTAGAATTCCAGGCACACAAGGATTAGGGTTAACCCTAACCTCGTTCCCAATGCAAGGAAACCTGAGAACCCTCAAAAAACCTTCAGTATGATTCGAAAACAACTCCCAATGACCAAAGATTAAGTCATGCTAACCGGTTAGCACAATCAGAATGTGAGGCTGAATGTTCCACCTACTCACATGCATGATGTTTGTTTACATAAAATGAGTCATTTCAACATAAAATGTAAGATAAATAGTGTTTGAACCTGCAGGACTTTGTGAATGAACAAAATTTGATGCCTAGAGATAGTTTTAAAATTAAGCTGGGATGTCACCCTAATTTATTCCATGGAGGAGGCAGGACTAAATATTTACTGCAGCCAGCCACTATGGGGCTTCTACTTGTGTTATATTCTTGTGTTGAGTATTTTGGGTAGTTGAAGCATGTTATGTGGTGATTTAGGTGAGTGAGTGAAAAGATACCTTTAGCTACACAAGATGAGACTGTTCCACACTTTCAGGAAACATTTCTGGCATTTGCATCTGTCAAGCACATTAAAACACATAAAACATTATCCTCAGTTTTCTTTCAGATTCTTGTCTGACAAGAGATTGTGTTCTTGAGGACTTTTCAAATACCCAACTTGTCAACTATGCATTTATATCTTCTGGTCTCAGGACTTGCTCTTTGTGGCCTCTAGCTGTCATTCCTAATGTTCAGCTCTGTCATGTTTGTGTTCACACACATTCCTGGACAGTCCAGTCACTCCTGTTAGGAAATAGCAAAGGGGGAATATGGCAAGGAGATGCCTAGCTGCTTTAAAGATTTTAAACACAAATAAAGACATGTTGACAGGATTATAATAAAACTCATTTAAGCTGAATGAGACTTTCATCTTTCATTGTATTAATTTATTTAGCTGCCAAACCACAGAAATGTTTTTAAAACTATATTTAAAACTTACATTTGTACATTTCTATTTTACAGCCTTTTTCATTCATAAAATCCAGTTTTATAGCGATGCCTGATTGGTTTGTTCTTCTGATAAATAGACATATTATGTAAAATGTGCAAATTAATTACTCTAGTAACTGTTTCATTTAAAATCAACCTAAACATTCAAAATCTAAGATTTTTTTTTGTTATTTATTACATGTATTGAATACATTTAAGTGCTACTTTAAAATCGAAGAGTGTTTCAAATTTTTGTGTGTTGTTTAAACAAAACCCATTAAGCTTTGTTTAAAATGACATATATATTATTTTTTTTATCCTAAAGGTCACCTTAACAGCATAGTGGTAGACATAATGCACATTTTTCCTTTTGTGTTGGTTTGGGTGAAGAAAATACATTTTTGCTGGCCATTCTCGAGTCACAGGAAGTATTCTATTTCCAAAGTAGAAGAAATATATTTCATTTTTCTGATTAGAGATGTGCATGGTGGTCTAGTTGGGAGCACTGTTGTGCAGACATAAGTCCTGGATTTGACCTGTCTGCGTGGAGTTTGCATGTTATTGGGGTAAAATCATGTATCCCACTCCCCCATCCCACTCTTCCTTTGCCCTCTGGAGATGAGCTCCAGATGTTGGCAACCCAGACCCTGGAGATCAAGTGGGTAAAGAAAAATGGATGGATGGCTTACCTTATTTATTTTTTTTTCACATTGAGAAAATCAAATCACATGATTTATATAAAACCAAAAAATATAAATAAATTAAGACCCCTGCATGAGTCTGTTGTAGTTCCCTTTTTACATACGACAGGAAAAAGGGGAGTTCGAGTATTTTATGTGTCATTCAACCTATACACTTTAGGATTTCAACTGACTTCAAATCTTCAGAACTATTTTATTTTTTGCAAATTTATTCCAACAATCGTAAAATTATAAAATGTGTTCATGGGGAAATGGCTGTTTTAATTACAAATTTAAAATAAGAAAAAATAAGAAACTGATGTGTGGCACTGTGACTAGCGACTAGGCAGCACCCTCCGCCGGCTCCTTCGTCTGACCGGTAGAGGTCGCAGACGAGCAGCCGCTGAGAGGATCGGAGCGCATGGACGCATCAGAGCGCTCCCTCATGACAAGAGCTACAGGGCGTCTGGAAGCCTGGGAGGGAGAACGGCCAATGTGGGAGCAAAACGATCCTTTCTGCATCTTTACCTGCGACCCACCCGGCTCGGTTCGAGCTCCACCAACTTCACCAACTCCACTGCTGCCTCAGTTGTCTGAGCGCTCCTCTTTCTTTTTCTCCAGGTGAACTTTGTAGGGATGTTTACTGCCGAGCATCATCGCGTTGAAGACAATTAAAGTGTCTGAAGGACTGGAGAATAAATCTTCTTGTACTTTTTGGTCGGTTTGACAAGAAGGAGAGGGATAGACCGTGTGTGTGAGTGTGTACGAGAGAGAGAGAGAGAGAGAGAGAGAGAGAGAGAGAGAGAGAGAGAGAGAGAGAGAGAGAGAGAGAGAGAGAGAGAGAGAGAGCGAGAGAGAGAGAGAGAGAGAGAGAGAGAGAGAGAGAGAGAGAGAGAGAGAGAGAGAGAGAGAGAGAGAGAAATCGCACACTTTTTTTCTTTTCTTTCTTTTTTTTGGAGCTACGCTTTCATGCCGTCAGTCTTGCAGACTCTGAGATGGACGTCAGATTTTATCCAGCTCCCCCTTCCAGCGTGGGTTCATGTACATTACCGACCGACTCCAGTCTGGACTATTACCACTCCAACAAGGTAAACTCCTTTTTCTACCCTCCGCTGTTTAAGTGGGTGAGATGTGTTAGTTTCAAGTGCAACGGCGCATTGATTACGCACGGCTCTGATCAGCTGAAATGGGACCAGCGTTGCACTTTTTGGTCCCCTGAGGATAACGTAGTTCCACGGATCCACAGGCTGCATCAGTAAACTTTGCCCCATCTTTGTTGTCATTGACACCCGCATCTCAGATTGGGCACGTGGATTTTCCTCCTACTGGACCTGTATAATAGAATTATTTTCTTGTAGCGTAGCAGAGCTGCGCACCTCTGTGGATAAACGCAACAAACACCAGATGTGTGCGTGATTGCAGCTGATATTATTTAGTTCTGCAAGCTTCCCTTTTTATGACTCAAACGTATCTAACCCTAGCTGCGTTATCTGGCACGAACGTTGCCACATGGTCAGCGCGCTCAATAAACCCAATAAACAATCAACAACATCTCGCCGAAACGCGGTTTCCTCAGCATCTCGTGTGTCTAAGTTGTGATATCTCTGCTGCAGATGTGTTGTAGTATTGCTCTTTTCTCGTTGCTGTTATTATTGAAGAGCAATATCATGTATTGCGCGCTTGGTGTGCGTAAATGCCCAACATCCGTATAATGCGCACACCTTTATGGGAATTAACTAGTCATTACTCACAACAAACACATAATGTATTGGTTTCCTAAGCGTTCATATAATTTTTTTATCATGGCCGTGTTGGTGCTGGCACGCACTTTTACGCACGGATGTTTCATTATAAGGCAAGATAGAATATATAGTTATATACATTTTGTCATGATTTAACTATCCAAATGCTTTTAAATATCTTAAAACAAATAATCACACAAGGTCCTATTTCATTTTTAATTATTATTCTTTCCTTCCTTCCTGTGTAACATTTATGGGGCTGGTTATGGTGCACCAGGTGCTCTAAAGAAGAACAAATACAGTACTATTGCCCGGAACTGCAAGTCACATATAAGACCAGTTTCTCTTGTGGTCAGAGTCAAACTCGTGCAAACATTTGTCAGAACCTGCAGTGCTGAGAGTTTAAAAAAGGGCATTAGCCCAGATCCTCAGCCATTCAAATGGCTGTCTTGCCTCAGCACCTGGAGCACCGCCAGCAGGCAGCCACATTTACTGATGACAAAGTGATACATGTGAAACATTATAGCCCAGTGCAATATTTGGATTGTTAATCTCCCCTGCTCATACATCCACTCACCTAGATGCACATATCATACACTAGCAGCACACTCCTCCCTTCAAACATCACATTTTAGCTCCAGATCATTAACAACATCACAACGGCAAGATAAATTAATAATGATGATAGTGAAACCTAAATTTGGTTGATTAATAAATGGACAGTAGAGACATCTTGGTGATTAAGTTACAGCATGCACGTTGGCGTGTGCACATTTCTCTGCATGTGTGAACCAGACAAACACACACAAACAGCAGAGCTTCGTAGCTGATGTGTATTTAAGATCACAGCAGGGCTTGCTTTTCTCAGACTGAGGTTACAATCCAGGAAATGTAGATTTAACACAATGAGCTGTGCTAACTATTATGAATCAGTGAGTAGAAAGGCTGCTGGCCTGCTGAGCAACATGTTTGGGTCTCAAGGACAGAACGCTGTTATTAGTAAAGTAGCAGCTGTGACTGAGATATAAAGTGACACAATATTGTCACTGTTCTCCTGCTTGTACACATAAATACGCATGATGCATGAGCTTTTGAGCAATAGGTTGGGTTCTGTTTCATTTATGCTGCTCGCTTGTGAAACAAATCACAGTCAAGTTTATTTTTGTTGATAATTAAATTGTGGTAATTCAAAATGATTAGTCGCTAAAATGGAAATTGCATTTGTTTCTTTGTTTCATCCAAAACCCAATGAGATCTGTGCAGTTCTGCTTGTCAAAATAAAAGCCTAATGTCCGCATCCTATAGTTGTATAGCCTGAAAGATGAACTAAATTATCGGTGGGCTCTGACTTTAAAGGTGTGGACCGCTGAAAAAAAGTATTTCTGATTATAATCAGTCACTCTGGGTTTTTCATGTTGTCTGAGCATAAAAACAGTCTCATACACCTATCTCCTGCATTAGCTTCTGATAGAAAATAGACGGTGAAGGATTTGAAAGGTCTGACGGATCTACGTCACACTGTCATTAGTGTCAACATTCATGGACTCACCCATCTTGACTCACGACAGGGACGGCTATTGTTGTTTTAGCACCCAGAAAACAGCTGAAAACATCTCGAATAGCAGAAGCTAACCATTAGCATTAGCAACTCCACCACACAGAAAAGCTCCTCCAGGCTTGTGTTATTTGTGGAGATAAAACATCCATGTTGCAAGTCAATGGTTCAGTTGCATTGCTGTTATCCAGTCAGAGGTGAGATGTCCAAATATAAGGAAATAAAACTCCAAATCCGGTCATTTTGTTCCACTCTCTCTTGTAAATGCTGATGCAAGCCCTTTTGGTCTTTTTTGCCCTAACATCTTGCAAGACATTCATTCCTACCTAAAACTACTGCAAATGTGTTGATTAAACCAGTTTCACACACCTTTAAAGCACAAATATTTTAGGAAGACTTTTTAATATAAATTTAAAGACTAAAATATGCAGAGATCACATTTTAAAACGGCTCTAGATACCACAGAGTGTCAGTGGGTGGGTTCTGCTGGTAATTGGTGATTAGAACATGTAAGTCATGTCATAGTCATGTCCCTGGGCAAGGCACCTAACCCCTGTTGCCTGCTAGTGATGGTCTGAAGGATCGACGTTCCCCGGTGTTCGACAGTTCATATCTGCTAGTGCACCCTGGAGCAGCTGTGTCTATGTTGTAGCTCATCTCCACCAGTGTGTGTGATTGAGCGAATGACTGGATGTTTTATGAAGCTCCTTGGGTGGGGGTGGGGGGGGTGGGGGGGTAGAACCCTTGAAGGTGCTATAGGAATACAAGCTGTTTACCATGTCTACTCACAACACATATTTTTGTAACATTTATAAATTATATTTAAACACATGTATACTCTAATCAGATTTACCCAATCTTCCAATTAATCAGTCACATGACTGGACAAACGGCAATGCTTTTAAAGTGGAAAAAAGCTGCTATGGATGCCTGTTTGGCCAAGCTAAAGGTTTATTTATCCCAATTAAAAAAATTTTCCCACAAGTGTCTACATTTAAAAATAGAACCATGTGGAAGAAATGTTGTTGGGCTCAACAGAATGTGTATAAATATAAATAAAGGAGGAATATACTATGAAGATTATCACTTGCTGCCAGTGTGTTTTGCCCTTCTTCTATTATCTGTAATTAGCTAACTTTAAACGCAGCCAAACCTTCTAAAGGACAGAGGTGCCCTTCATTTGGAGGAAATGACAAAATAAAAGCTTGCTTACAAAGTGGACTGTGACAATTATTTTAGTTACATTAAGCAGAAAGAAATAGATGCTTGTTTTCTATTTTATTTCTATGGTTATTGCATTATTAATTTCAAACTAATGTGCCAAGGCAGAGCTGGGGTATAAGTCATGAAAGCCTCTGAGGTCTCCTAGAAGGTGTGAAAACCAATGGTGGGATTATGCATAACAGCAGCTCGACATTAAAAACACCCGGCAGGAAGCGATCATGTACTAAATAAAACAATGCATATGCCGTTGCTTCATAAACTAGTGGGGTAAACTCACAACATGTTTATTTATGAGCCTGGTTGTTCAGCTTTACAAGAACCGCTCTAAGGACAAGTACACCTACAGTAACTGGGCTCATTCTTGTTTTCTATCCATAAAGGGGTTAATAAACAAGGAATGTAAAGAATGTGCAAGCTGAAAATGGTCTGAGCTGATTGACCACATTCAAACTGATGGTTGATTGATGCGTGGAGGAAATATGGATCACTCTGACAGGATGATTGAACACCACACACGTATGACTGTGCTTTGAATTACAAGTAGGGGTTTGTTTGGAATTTGACATCAAACTTCTACTAAATCATTCTGGTTGTGGGAGCAAATCCAGAAAGGTAAAACATACTAGCATACTGGTGACGTTTGGCCCAATGAAGGTTTCTTTTCGATTTTATAACTGATCATGTTAAATTCACGGCTGACACATGACGTCTGCATACCCGACTCAAAGCAGCTTTTAGATCGAGGCTCTTCAAGTAACAATGTGCAGTTTTCACTGTTAATCTATGGAAATATTCATTCAAATGTTGTTATAAATGAATGAAATGATGCCCAGTTGTTGAAAAATGTTGGCAGATTTGTAACATATGACCATAAAAAATCTGATCTAAAATACATTGAAGAGGGTCTAAGTCTCTGGGCGACGCCATATTTGACGCCATGTTTCCTGTGAGGACAAAATACATTTCTGATTTGTAACAAGCGGTTACAAAACTTTTGCCATTCATAGATGTTGTTGTTTTACACCAGGTGTACTCAAATGCAAGTGGCCAAAGGCCACGTAAAAGGTTTTGATGAGTGGAAGGGCCAATATGACAGTTATGTATTGGTCCTCGTGTTAACATTGTAAGAGAGGAAAGGATTGGTCCGGGGGGGGGGGGGGTTTGGGGGGGGGGGGGCAGAAGGAAGAGGCTTGCGGGTATTGAGTACCACAGTTTTACACATTTACCTCCACTCGTTGCCAGTGATGAAAGGGGGTCTGATGTGCTCGCCATTTTGCTGGAGGTTGCATTCATAGGGATCTTTGACCCTAATGGCCATTCTCGAACACAAAAATACCTTTAAACTAGGAAGGGTTTCACTATGCAGCTGTCTGATTTATTCGTCAAACATTTATAGTTCAAACAAAAACCAAATCAAAAGAGTGGTAAAGTGATCATGAAATGAACATGAGCCTTTGAGCTTCTATACGTCCCACACACACAAAAAATACAACAAATAAACAACCTTTGCATCCACCTTTCTGAACAACGTTAAGAAAATCATATGAGAGGAGCATCGATTTGCGTT